ATTTGAACTGCTAGAGAAGTGGATAAATATGCACACGGTATACGATGCATATGGTCCGATTTATCTTTGCAAAAGTCGAGTCATTTTGAAAGTATGACGAAGAAAGACAAGACGTGGGATGGATCAATGATGCCTTCGCAAAAAGGCAAGCTTGCTGTTGTGACGGGTGCTAACTCGGGTATTGGTTTTGAAGTGGCTAAAGAGCTGGCAGCGCACGGTGCGCATGTGATTCTGGCGTGTCGCAACGAAGAGCGAGGACAACAGGCAGAGGAACGGATCCGTAGTGAACTGGCCTTGATGCCAAATGAAGTTGTTGGCTCGGTTGAGGTTATGCAAGTGGACATTGGAGACTTTGACAGTGTGCGTGAATTTGCTCGTGCATTCCACGACAAACTTGACCACCTCGATCTGCTCATTAATAACGCTGGCGTGTACGGACCGACTCAACGCCACACACCGAATGGGTTAGAGATCCATTTTGCCACCAATCACTTGGGTCACTTTTACCTAACAAGCTTGCTATTGGACTTACTGCGCAAGTCAAAGCACCAAGCCCGTGTAGTTAGCGTAAGCAGTGTCACCCATTACTTTGCCTGGATGTTTCTCAACTTTTCGAAACTGGGACACACAAAAGGTAGCAGTGCCGACTATACGACGTCTAAATTGGCCAATTTGCTTTTTTCTTTCGAACTACAGCGTCGATTGGAGTCTGCTGAGGTAGGAAATGTAGTGGCTGTCGCAGCGCATCCAGGTGTCACGCATAGTGACATTTGGAACCGTTTCTACACTGCCAAATTTCCAAAATGGCTGGCTAAAATTGCTATACGGGTGGGGTCGTGGCTGCCATTTATGACGCCACCAATGGGTGCGCTCTCAATTTTGTATGCTGCGACGATGGAGAGTGTAAAAGGAGGGGAATACTATGGCCCTAATGGATTCTTGCATTTCCGAGGCTATCCCGCTCTCGAGGCTGGCTCCAAGTCGAGCCATTCATTAGAAAATGCAAATAAGTTGTGGAAGCTCAGTGAAGACATGATTAACGAGGAATTCAAACTCTAG